TGCAGCGGCATGGAACGACCCAGAGCTTTTCGGGGGGGGAGAGGAAGAGGAGGATAGATACGACTCGGATCGGGGCGATGCACACCGCCACAGCGGGAAACCCGACAAAGTAACATCCACCGATGAAAAGTGGAGAAGGCCAAGTAAGTATTGCATTAAGTATCAACTGCTCACACACTCAGCAACGCAGCACAATTCAAATGCCGAAGACCCTCGTCAGCTGCACACCCACCTCTGAGTGTACGCAATGCATTGCCTGCATGCAAAGACAATATTCTCTGCTGCACTTTCCTCGATGATGTAGGATGAAGGTACTCTATGGTTTCTAAAAATATACTGGCATATGCAAATGTCTCTAGCTGTCGTATCATTTGCGAGTGTCGCTGGTTTTCACTGCTCACCAGCTGCTCCTTCTGCCGCGTCTGCAGGTACCTTCTCAGGCTCTGAGGCATCANTGGTTTTCACTGCTCACCAGCTGCTCCTTCTGCCGCGTCTGCAGGTACCTTCTCAGGCTCTGAGGCATCAGACCAGGAAGGGAAAGAAAATGCTGCGGATACAGCAACAGCAGCAGCAGCAGCAGATAATCGTCGCACCCAGAGGCGGACCCGCCAGCCCCCGTTGAGCGCTGCCTCCTTCCTGCAGTCGCCAGAGGGGGCCCCCGCGGACGGTCTTTTGTCTTTATACTGCAACATAAACTACGCGCGAGATAAGCTGCACAAGTTCAAGTTCTTCGACAGAAATGCAGCACGAGAGGCGAGGAAACGAGAGTATAGGAAGGAGCTGAAGGCGGCTCAGGCGTTGCTCGCCCTGAACGCCCGCCAGCCGCAGCGGCAGAAACAAACGCAAGAGCTGCTGCAAGCAGAGATAACCGTGCGGAGCCGCAGGCGGCTGTTGGCGCGGCTGGAAGGGGAGGAGCGGCTGGAGCTTCGAGAGGACCTGAACACGTTGATGAGAGAAATAAGAGAAGGCATTGTTGCCTTCTACCCTTACAATGAACATATCTCCCGCTTGGCTCGCCGCCTTGATAAGATCAGCGCGCAGCCCGATATGTGGGCACAGTACAGACCCCGCCTCGTTCAGCTGCACCTCTCAGGCTTTCTTAATAAATGGATGGATAGGGGTTGCCCCCCCGACCCCTACGAGATGCTGCAGAAGCAGTCGCGCGGTGATACAGCAACAACAGCAGCAGCAGGGGAGGCGGCAGAGACGGGGGGCCCATCATACATGGAGGAGGACGTGGGGGGGCCCCCCGATATACCTTTAGAAGAAGAATACCCTTTCCCGGATGAACCCTGGGCACAGAGAGAACCACAGACAAACTCTACAGAGGCCACAAAGACCGCAGCCCCAGCACAGCCCAACATAGAAAAGGCTGCAGCAGGTGAGGCCTCTACCCGCTGCACAGCCAGCAGCAGCAGCAACTCCTGGTGCTGCTGTTATTGAAGGAACCCCTTACTGGGTCTACATCTCTCTCTGCGTGCTCTCTTCACAGCCTGAAGGGATATGAAATACATTTCACTTGTTTACTA